CTTGCAGAGTGCTCTTGGGGAGGAGGGGGGGCAAAAAATGAACAAAAACCGGCCCATTTTTCACAAAAACGGACCCATTTTTCATCGAAAAAACTGCATGCATAGCCTTATGGAGGCTTATGGAGTGCTGCTGGGGACTGGGGGGCAAAAGTCAGCCTATTTTTTGCTTATTTTTGCCCTCCCCAGCCTCCAGGAGCTTTCTGAAAGCCTTCATAAGGCTATGCACGGCCATTTTGGTGAAGGGGCGGGGCTTCAGGAGGCAAAAAAACGCTGTATTTGATGTATAAGGCGCACCCAGATTTTCAGCCTCTTTTTTGAAGAAAAAAGGTGCGTCTTATACTCCAAAAAATACGGTATGTTTTCATTAGGAATAAACAGCAGCAATGGAAATCTTACTAAACTGCCTTTTTGTTTGTTCTTGCAAGACACCTTCCCAACCTGTGTGCTGGAGATTTCTGATCAGGAGGTCTTAGAATGGTTTACAGCTAAAGATTTTGCAGTTGGCAAACCCACTACTCTACTTGGACGTACTTTTTTCATCTATGACTGTGATGAGTTCACGCGACAATTCTATCAGGATAAATTTGGCATCACTGACTTCCAAGCAGTTGATGTAAAGAAGCCACTCCCAGAGGAAATCAAGCAGGTAAAGGGGGAAAACAAAGAAGTTGCAAAAGAGGGCAGTTTTTAATTAAAGGGCAAGGAAATGGAGGTCAGAACATGAAATGGGATTGAGAAGAAGGACTGACAAGCAGTGGAAATGAGAGTTGCTAGAGAAATTCCAAAAAGCAAGTCAGTCTTCATAGACACAAAGAATAGAAGTACTAGGAAGCATCACGTATATTAAGTCAAAGTATTACTGTTGATTCACTTGTTAATGGATAAAAGTTTCAAAATACACAGTAGAGAGTTTAACTGACTATGATGACAAAGATTGCTTTTCAAATGTTATTATTTATTTAGAAATAAGTAAGAATGTAGTGGAAGTTAAAAACAGGTAGGAAGTTCAGATATGAATTCAGCTAGACTATGTTTTTTATTATCCCTTCTCTTTTCAAACGAACATTTTTTTTTTGATTTTTTTTACCCTCTTCAAATGCAGTTCTTCTGTATGGAAGAGTGATTGGAGATGAACATTTCATTTGCATCTGTCCCTTTAATAAAACTTGGATTGTTTTTGTTAGTAACTAGAGAGCTGAGATGAACAGAAACATGTCAATGCTATTGCCTAGGAACAGAATCTCCTCGTTATAAACAGTGTCTTACCCATCCTTTTTCTGCTTTTACTGATGCTTCACAATAGAGTACAGTAATATTTTTTAAATTTAAATTTATTTTAAAATATATTTTTTAAAACTTTTAAACAGGTCATTTTACAATATTGTGAGTGAAGTTTCATGGTTCAATATTGTAATTTTTTTCCTTGGCTTATTTTATCTACAGATAATTCCTCCCTACAATGGTTATGGTTTCCTTGAAGACTCTCTTCAAAACTGTTTCAGTTTGATTCCACAACCCCCTAGGAAAAATATTATTAAAATGCTAGAGAATGACCACAAAATTTTGCGCTATGCTGTTAGAATGGTGAGTTGTCATGATTTACAGTTTTCAGAGTGATAATTGAGTTGAGGATTAGAAGTTCTTCTTTTAATTTTATCTCCAGAGGTTAAGGTCCAAGGAGTAAAAATTTCAGTGTAATAAGAAGTATTCATATATACGAGTTTTTAATTTAAACAATTGATGACTTTGACAACCTGATGAAATTGCTGAAAGAAGGTCAATCTATAATAATATATAAACTCTAATTCTATTTCTCACAAGTCGATGAAAAATAGAAGCAGATATTAAAATATTATATCAAAATAGTCTTTCAATTCAAAGCACTATGGATACATAGAATCTGATTAAACTTGAGAATTTTCAAACTGTAATGGAAAACACGTCTATTTATGTATACAGTGTAGTTTCCCTTGGCTGGTTGAGGATATCTATTGGAGCTCTACATTTAGTTCTCAGTTTAAATAACTGTAGTCCTTTTTTGTTGCTTTCATTTTGGAACACCAATTATTTTATTACTGTAAGATTGTATTTCAGAAGGTTTTCAGTAGTGAGAGCAACTATAATGTGTATAAAACCAGAAACAAGATAAAAGATAGATGTCCTATCAAAGAAATTAGTTTCCATTAAATACTCAGGCCCTTCACACAGTATAGGAGGTTGATTAAATCATAAATTACAGAGGATCCAGCAGTGTGGTGTGACTACTAAATAGGGTAATGAAGTCTTAAGCTGTATTAACAGAATTATAAAGTCCAGAAAATTGCAGAACAAAATATGTTTCAATATTAGAAGACATTTCTTTTGACTCAGAGCTATTTAACAGGGAAACAATTTCCCTTTACTCAGAGGTGGAAGGATCTCCTTCAATGGAGATATTTAAGCAGAAGTTAAATAGGCATCTTCATGGAGAGTGATGTAAATGTAATTTGCTTTGAACAGAGAATACATGACCTCTGAGGACATTACCTGATTTATGATTTGAACAATTTGAATAATGATTCAATTGGCTATTCAGCTGCTTTTTACACAATGGATTCATTCAGTATGACTGAGAATTCTGGGAGTTTCAGTACCTTCAAGAAGATGTCATGTTAGGAATAGCCAAACATGAACAAGCCCTTTAAGCACAGCATATTTTGCAACTTACATTTGACCTTAATCTGTCCAGGAATCCTCAAACCCTGATGACAGCAAGAGACATTTCGTTCTCTCCTATTGCCTCGCTACTGACATGATAAGCATTTATGAACCACCTGTGCGCAATTCAGGAATTATTGGTGGCAAGTACCTATGCAAAACCAGAATCCCAAAGCCAGGATATTCTACAGACGATCCTGTTTATTATGAACCTGCCGACTTAACCATAGGCGCTATGATAGAAGGTAATAGAAAGATGGAGTATAAATATTTTAGAAGTGAATATTTTGGCACATATTCATTCTTCATTCTATATTTTTTGCCTAAGAAATAATGTTTTTCTCTGTTAAAATTATTCAAAAGAATATAGCATAGAGAATTATGAAATTTGCAGCAAAAACAAGCTAGATAAATTTTCTCCAATCCCCCTTAGGCACTGTTGAGCTATTTGAACTGTAAAGTTCACAAGTGACATATCTTTTCAGGTTAGTTACTGACAAATAAACAAAGTACTAAGAAATGGCGGAGGTAAAACATATTGTTAGTCCTCTTACAGCTTATTCCTATAGCCATACACAATTTCCTCAGATCAGAATAGAAATAAAAATGTTGATAGAAAATTGCTGTAGTTACACCTTTCTTATCCTGTTTTGGCAGTTATGACTAGCTTATTTCACGTTTTCCTTCAGTTGCTTTGCACAAAAACAAAAAATAGGTTGTTGAGCTGCAAGTTTAGTTACAACCTTTTACTTCTTAGACTGCAGGCTTGTTGTTCTAAGGAAATAGCCAGTCATCTATGGTGAGGATAGTTCCATACCATCTTTTCAATTTATAAAGCTTCAAGATTTTACCAATGCAATTCAATGGCATATTGATACTTTCCAGTTTTCTATTTTTCATGTTTTCCCTGCATCACTGAAAAGGTTTGAAATAAGTACATTATGCTATTGCTAGGTTTAAAGCATCTTTGGGTGCTTTTTAAAATCTCTAAATATTCAGCTTTGTCTCTCCGCCAATGTTGCTACATCACCACTGGTGTTGTTGAGAATTTGAAAGGCTGAAAAATGTGCACCATCCCCACCTCTAAAAAAGTTGCACAAGTTTAATCTATATTTCTGGAACTAGCAGATAGTTGGTCATGATAATGACAGATTGTCTCTTTTATGCAGTGTTTGGCCACAGGTTCATTATTGTGGATGCAGATAATTATGTGTTGAATTATATGGAAAGCAATTTGGAAAGCTTCCCAGCATCTGTTGTGCAGTCTATGAGAAATCATTTTGCACCCCGCAGGGCAGCAATAGAGGAACTAAAGAGGTGAGCACTTGAAGAAAATATCCATAGAAAATGTTCTATAACTAATATTAATTATGCTGATTCAGCAGCTTTTGGTCTGAGGATGATGGAAGATATTCCCTTTTCATAATCACAGACAATAAATCAATATCTATTATCACTTTACCTTCAAACATCACAAATAGTCACAACTTTCATAAAGAGAGTGTAAGCCTCTATGGGCCCTTTCCAGTTACCAGAGAATAGTATCAGGAAAGGGTACTTGCTTTCATCCTCCACCAAAGATGCACATGGTTGGTTATTATGAGAAAAATAATTCTGGACATGATAAAACTATTCACATTTTCTTTCAAGTTCCTAGATGAGTTAACTATCTTTGTAGATGATGTTCAATCAGATTGAATAAATCTAAAATAACCAGTACTGAAACATTTGTCACTACTACTCGCATGGAACGAGAAGTAACAGTTCTAGCAGAGAAAAATTGGAATTGAATTTTAATTTAAAAAGACACAGAGGAAAAGAATGGTAACTTACCTTGGCAGAGTAAAATCAAAATCTGTTGTTTAAAATCAGATAAATCTGTAACAGTTATATTGAAATGGTTTATGATTTGTTTTCAGCCACCTAATTAGTAGGCTGATTAAAAATTTAGTAGAGTGATCAGACTGCATTGCAAATTGGGGGGTATTCATTGTCAGTGTAAAATGTGCCTGCATTACTGTGATATAGAAGTAAATTTTAAGAATGGCTTTTCTTTTGAATGGCAGACGATAAATTTTGTCCATTTAGTTGTAAATCCTAATATCTCTGCAGGCCCCCAATACTATCCATAGAGAATGTACCTAATCATAGTTAGATTAAAACACAGGTGATTGATGATAATAAGAAGAATTTCAAGATGCTTGAGTCTTGAGGACATTTTATGACATCCTAGTTCTTTTTTCCCTCTAGGTTAGCTTCCAATGAGCCTGACCCACAGGAGCTAGCTGCATTATTGGAGCAGATTCAGGAACACATGAGGCGGCATAATTATCTGCCAGACAGCAGTATGCAGGAAGCTTTCCTTCAGCAAGATAAAGATGGCTCAGGGCTTCTAAACAAAGCAGAGTTCTTCACCCTTTGTGACCATTTTAAAATACCAACTGATGACCCAATTTTCCAAAAGGTAAAAAGTATGAGCTGGCAATCTGTTCTAACTGTAAGCCAAGGCTTATCAACAGTGAGAACAATGATAGAAATGTTCAAAAGGAGGTTTAGGCTTTTGAATTTGGAAATGCAGGTAACGGGGTATTAATAGTGTATGGGGATACTGGTACATCTGTTCCTTCCGTAATTCTACCAATATGACTCAGAGACTGGGATCAATCTAAAATCACTGGCTATACATTTGCTTTAATTTCTTTCTTTATAGTACCGATAAAAAGATAATTGTGGCATAACACAGAGTAGAATACAGAATAATAGAGTTGGAAGGGACCTTGGTGGTCTTCTAGTCCAATTCCCTGCCCAAGCCGGAGACCCTATAGCATTGTGGACAAATGGCTGTCTGATCTTTTCTTAAAAACCTTCCCTGTTAAATGTTATATGCTCCTATATCATGGAGAGTTACAATATGGAATGTATCTTTATATAGAGATTTCTTGTCAATTCATGTTGTAATTAATAGAATTTTTTCTAATTTATCAAAGCAGTGGGAAGTTACTGCATATTTTCATGAGTGCCACTTGCCCAATTTTTGTTGGGATTTTAGGAGTGACAAATTTTAGAATTCCAGAGTGGCTTGTATTAGCCATTTTCTGGAATCCTTTTGTAAACTCATAATTTAAGTATTATTAAATGATATGCTATTGCAGTTACGGTAACTTGTGGCATTCCATGTTTTTAAAAATAGATTTGTCTTATTTGAGTCCCAGTACTGGTGATTTATTGTGTGATAATTGTCATTTGCAGCACTAATTATTTATCTAAAATGTTCCAAAGTCTTTCCCAGATTCTTACTTACAAGTAGGTATGATGGCAGAATTTCATTGCTAACAATGTAGTTCTAAAACTTGACATCATGAGACCACGTTGTTTAGCAACAGCAATTCTCATCATTAACTAAATTATGTTGATCATCAGTCAAGGGCCCACACTAATCCAAGCCATTCCCATCTTGATCACTCTCAGCCCCAGGTCTCAGTTCTTTCAAGGTAAGGGACTCCCTACCACTTCTCCCAAATGCCTATTCCCCCAATCTCTGCCTTCTGGGTCAGCCTGTATTGTGGGGTGGCAAGCAGCTTCAGAACCTCACAGTTGTGGGACTACTTGCTATGTTGCAGCTCAGAGGCTGCAAGAAAGCGCTGAGCTGCAGCCACCTTGGGAAGCCACAGCCTGACCCAGCAATGTGATGCAAAGCCCCAGCTATCCCAAGAAGCTTCACCACCTCAGCTTAAGGGACCCTGCATTCAGAAGCTCCTGGTGCTGTAGCTAAACTTTGCTGTCTTCCTGCTGCTGACACATGCCTGGCCACTTGAGGCCTTCTTGCCCAGGTCTCGCAAGGATACTGCAACGTGTGACATTGGGAAAAGCCTCATGTGGCCATCAGCAACAACCTTGCAAAGGCCAGGCATGCTAGATCAACAGTGGGAGCAAGAATATGGTAAAGTTCAGCTAGGGTGGTGGAGCCCACAGTGGCTGGGGCTATGGAGAACAGGGAGTCAAAAAGGCAGAAATGGGGAAGATAGGTGGATGATGGATGTTAAAGTGTCCCTGCAGTTGTGTGGGTGGGCTGCTAAACCCCTGAATTTTGATCACGGGTCAGAGGGGGCCCCTGCAACAGCCATAACTTCAGAGACCTGATATATAATTATTATTTGCTCAGCACTGCTGCAACTTCAAACAGTCATTGAATAAATCATCATAACTCAAGGACAAGATTTAACTTAATGGTACATGTTCATTACAAATCCTATTGTTATTCCTTTTCATTTCAGTTTAAAAGAACATTGATTGTCCCTGATTTTTTTCCCACTTTAACAAGTATGCTTAAATATCAGATTGTATTTGAATAGCAGGGACTTTGTTTGGATTTTGTAGTAAGTAATAGATTTGAAAATGAAATTCTCTGAGTAAAATTGCATTATTTCTGTACTTGAAAGGCAGCCAATTGTTTCCTTCTCCCAATAGCTTATTATGCCTGTGTTTTCACATACCCCATCCAGCAATTAAAAAAAAAAATAGAAAAGGAAAGCCTCACTTTTATTTTGTTCTACTCTGAAGATTAAAATCAAAAATCTTACTACTGCAGATTAACTGTGCATGTTTAGGACATATGGCAATTTTTAAAAAAAATGAAAGTACAGCATTTGCAACTTTTCATTGGTTTCTCTCTCTCTTTTTTCCAGCTTATTAAGATGTGTTCTCATGGGGAAAATCAGATAAGATACCCTGACTTCCTCAAAGCTTTCCAGTGTTGATCAGTTCAAAACTAGCAGTTACCAGATGTACAAGATCAATTTCAATTAAAAACACTAATTATTGAAAGCTGCTCTGGTATTCCTTCCTTTTTCTACCATATATTCAATTTATAATTTTCCAGATTACTTGACAAAAACAGTCTATCACAGCTCTGATCCTTCTACTAGAGTGAGGGTGGTTATCTCTATGCATGCAATTATGGGTAGATCTTTATTTTATTACCTGGAAAGCAAATGGCATTTATATGATTCTGTGTCAATATAACTATCCTTTAGTCCTTTATGAACAATATGACTGTCTCCCACAATATCCCAGCTGGTTCAGTCTGCCAGGGTTGGCATGCTCTGGGTTCCATCTTTCAGGTCTCTGGAAGTGTGCCTTTTCTGTAGCAGTGCCTGTGCTCTGGAATGCGGTTCCCCAAAGATTTGTATGACTCCCATACTACTGACTCCAAATGTGTGGCTTTTCACTGAGGTCTTCAGTGAGTGCAATTGACACACCTTTTCTTTCTTTGGTTCCATCCAGAATTGGGTTGTTACTTGTTTTAAAATGTTTTTAACAATTTGTAAACTATCCGGAATTGCTGAGAGTGGGGTGGCATGTAAATTTATTTTATTATTATAACAAATGCACAGGAAAGTTAAATCCCTTATCTTATGCCCCAGTGAAGTTGAAAACATGTATTACAAGAACCTTAGGATTCAGAACTTTTCATTTCCTAAAGTGGGAGGGGAAGACATTTAATGGCAGACTGTTGTTAATATGATTTCTTTCCTGTTGCCTGAAGTAACTAAAATTATAAGCCTTCATTTAAGAAAGGATAAAACTTAGGTTTACATTTAAGAGCCAAGCAAGCTTTACACTTGCTCTGTCCAGAAATTTCTTCTTTGGGACTTCTTACAATCTCAGCATATTCCATAGGAGTTTCAAACATGTTCAAATATTCTGATATTACTCAGCCAGGCAAGCAGGAAACCTGTAGCAATGAACACCAAGCTATTTAGGAACCATGCTTTCATAGTTCATGGCAAAGAATAAATTAGTAGTGAATAAACAATGGTACTTTTCATCATTCTATGCCTTTTTTATTTCAGAAAAATAGTTGTATCACAGATTGCTTTCATAAAAGCTCTTTAACAATAACAAAAAAATCATAAACAAATTGGATTTTCGAATGGTGGGAATAAAACGTTGAGAGGAAAAAAAAATCCCCCAAAATTGTCCCTTCCCTCCCTGAAAACCAGGACACAAAAAGATTAAATTTAAATATGTAAAATTAGGCTTAGATTTGGTCCATAATTAGAATTACTAATGGGAAAAAACCCAGCCATGTACACTTCTAATATAACATTTTCTGCTCTATACTGTCATTTGTAGAACAATTATAATACTTAATTTCTGAAGAAGGTCAACAAAACAAAGCCCTTAGAAACAACCCTGATGTAGCTGTGGTTTCAGGATAATAAAGATTTTTTTTTCCTTTCTGGAAGACACAAAATGTATAGAGGTAAACGGTTTTCCACTTAATAGTATCAGAAACAGAAGAAAAATCAACCATACTGACAGCAAATTATTTGCAACCTTCACAATGCATTTTACATAACATCTACAATTTGTTTAAAAAACAAAGTCTAAAAAAAATAAAAATTGTATGAGTAGGACATTTAATTATTTTGTAGCTGCTTTATCACTTGGATACTTCAAAGAAAAGCAAACCATATACCATTTCCAAAATCACAAAGATTTACTACTTACTGAGCTTTGGAACCCTTAGTTAGATCTCGATATTATGCTACATATCTATAGATCCATCTAGGCCAGGGATAGGCAAATTTGTGCCCATTGCAACTTCTTGAATCCTGTTATGCTCTTTTTAAAAACAGTTTCAATTTTAAAAAAATTAATAAAATTGGAAATGTGGCATACTTTAAAGTGAAGCACCAGCCTCTAGCATTATCTGCAACCCTGAGATCCCACTGGGGTAACAAATAATATCTTGGGGCTAGTTCATCATTTGTTAAATGGGTATTTTGTGACTGACCATATCTAACTTTGATATTCATTCTGCAATGATACTCATTCTGCAAGCATGCTCAACATATGTTCTCAAAATTCCAAACATACTTTAACCCAAAATATTTGCTTACCCTTGACCTAGAACATGAAAGAAAGGAAAGGCACTATGAGGTTCTCTGCACTTAATCCTGTGTTAAAAGAAGAATAAGTCCCAGAGCTAATCATGTTGCCCACAATCCAAACAAATATAATTACATTATGGAGAACTACAATTCCAATTTCTTTCCCTCAAGATGATATCACTCACAACAGATCATAAATTGACTCAACCTTTTGTGGGAAAGCAGAGTACAGAGGAACCAAGTAAGGCTCTTATTATTTAACTTAGAGTGACACTATGCTTACTCATACAAAGGCACCCTTAGGTTAAAATCCCATTTGTGCTGGTGGATTGTCTCTCTTTAGATCCACACACAATATCTACTGAGACAGCAATTTGAAGTAGACCATTAGTGTTGGAGATGAAAGGTAACTTCCGCTAAATTATTTTCACTTGTACTGTAACTCCAACATCTTTTATTTTGAGAATGAAAGCATCCAAAAGTAAAAGGCAATTCTTCATAAAAAGTGGCACAAATTAGTGATGTCTTACGTATGTGTAACTTCTGCTTAGAATTGTAGTTTCAATGATCGCATAGTTTTTTTAAACACCCAATTCCTAAATAATTACAAAGCTAAGCATAACATCTAATTCTAGCAACAGACGTTATGAAAGACGCTCAAAAGCAGTTGTTCAAAAAGTTTTAGAAATACAAGGACACATCCAAAATTAAAACCAAGAGCATCTAATCTGCTATGGAAATGTTTGTGATATTATGGATTGTTTCGTATTACAAAAGAGATTCTTGCGTCTAGAATAGTTCCAACAATTACACTTGTCAAGCAATTACTTATGGTCAAAAAGACATAGAAATTGAAGCAAAGCATCCAGCAAAAGCTGCCACCTTTTTGAATAGCTAAACTAGTGCATACAGTATAAGTGAACTACAACAATACATATACAAAGAAAAATCAATATGAAAGATAAAAAGATTGGAAAGGCTATGTGATAATGTAAGGCACTTGCACAATGTACTTGCACAAAATTGAACCAATTTCATTGTATACATGATGTACAATGACAATAAAGGCTTTGAATATCACTACAATTGAAAACCTGGTGCTGGATGAAAGGAGTTAGATTAACTGGGTCAGGGTAAGGCCTGTTTGGAGGTTTTTCTTGCAGCTTTCTAGAACTAGTTCTTTGGGAAACCTAAGTCTTTTGACTGAGCTTAGTGCAAAGTCAGAAAGCTTCATTTAAATAAGATCAGAATTAACAAAAACACAAGGAATTCCAATTTAGAACACTGATGTAAAGAATTGGTGTAAAAGAAAGCCTACAAATTGCACATATATTTTGTGGCTCCCAAAGCATTCCCCAAAAGATGCAAGCAAAATATTTGGCTAGATGTTTGTTTGTTTGTTTATTATTTTCATTTTGATAGCTTTGGGGGAAAACTAAAAAAAGTGCAGTGAATTCATTATGTTTCCAGAGACTCAAAACACTTAAAAATTAGGGCAATTTTATTATACCCACAATTGCAAGATGACCATCAATATGCCACACAGGCTCAAGAGTGGTTCTTCTGGTGGTAGAAGCCATACATATCTGCTTTGCAATAGTGGTGGGTTTTCTGTTATGCTCAAGCAATAGAGCTATCACATTCATATATGCATGTAGGTTGACCCCCATATCTGACCTACTTAGCACCATCACTAACCCAGTTTACTCTTTCATTCCTGTATAAAAAAGGTACAGATGAGGTATATTTAGAACTCAATAAGAGCTAAGGAGTGACAGGCACAATATGGTATAGTCGATTTCAGCTCAGAAGGTCTCTGATCTGAACATTTCAAGATTTTGGAGGGAAGAAAAAAATAACTCTCTGTACAGTCTCAAGTAGTGCCAAGCAGCATTAAAGTCTGTTGCAAGAGAAGGATAAAAAGAGACATATGATTCTTCAGAGATACATATATTGTAAGCAGTTTATAAAGTCTTCTTCACCTCTTAAACTCCCCCAAAAGTTTACAGCGATATCCCTGACTCATGAAACTTATCACTACTCATTAATCATGCACTGCTGTCTGCTAAGACTGCAGCAATCCCTCTTAACAGTTGATCTAAATGCAAACCAGAGATGCTCTGGCAGGATGAAACTCATGGCTAATGTGTTTGGTTTGGCAGGTCTTAACTTATGCAGACCTACTTTAGACACAATAAAAGCATTCACAAAAAGGAGTAGTTGGGTCAAATCCTGGGACACCCAACTACTAAGTATGTATTCTATTGATTTCATTCAATCTATTAATGAAATAGATATTTCTATTCCAAATTATGGCAAAAGAGCATGGAAATCAAAAGATTCTTTGTATTATTTGAAAAGCAGAACAATATCGTAAGATGATCCAGTTACACTAGGGCTTAAAACAAGACATAGTCATGAAGCAACTCTGCTGAATAAAGTATGCTTAAACATACAGAAAAGAGAAGACACTTTTCATTAAAACAAAAAAACATTAAAGATGAACAAAGTAACTCTAAAAGTTTTGTGTGAACAACCCCAATTTTTTTGTAGGTGCCAAATAAACGTAACTAAAAGAAATGTAGGAATGGGTGGCTTCCGAGGTAGATTTCACTTTTTAATATCATCCACCAGCTTTACAAATTGTGCTCTCTCCTTTTGAGACATTATTCCTTCTCTCTCCTCTCCTATCTTTCATAACTGAACCTCATAGAACTTGCTAAGCAACTAGGAACTAAATTGCTTTCAATCTGAATAAAAACAATCTCTATAGTTTTAGAAATAAGAACACCAGGACAGGCATGAATTCAGAACCTATTAGATGCAACTTAGAAAAAGAGGTGCTTGGGAAAACAAATTACAGGTTGCAATTCTATACCACAATGAAATTGAATAAGCCTCTCTGAATTTGCTGGAATTTACTTCTGAGAAA